GCTATGAGTGAAAAATTGGTCCAGTTAAAGTAGATACAGTAACCGTCTAATCTCCAATTTTATATTCTGTCAACAATATTACAGCATATATTCAACGGGCCTTTACATAAAAAATAAGTAAAAGGATAGAATGTCCATAGTGATGAAAATCTTTTGATCAGGTAATATGGCAGGATTTCCATAACTATTCTATTACCCAAAATCATGGCACTGTCGCCCTTCTGTACATTGATAAGACCTGGCATTTCTTTGAATTTGAGGATTTGTTCTCCATCAATTGTTTCCCCGTTATATGCAGGAACTGAAAGATCAACAACGACAGTTAAAGGGTTAAGTTTAAAAAATGTGAATTTCCGGATTTAGGGTACCTGCAGCATTTTCCTTACCTTGTGCAGAAACTATTTAGGATATTTGATTATCTAATAGGTATTTTGAAAGGACATAGTATCGAGAAGTTTTTCATCACTATGGACACTTTACCCGCCTACTAATTTTTTGTACAGGTCTCGTTGGTTGCTGTAATCTTTTTGACAACAGACAAAATTTTAGATTAGACGATTGTTGTACCTACATTAACTGGATTAAATCTCCAGTCATAACATTTTTCCAGCGACACATCGATTGGGAACAAATCCTGTAAAGCTGATTGAAAAAAATCAAAAGACAACTTCAAAAAAGCAGTACAATCTGAAAACTAGTAATTTTTCACAATTTCGTAAAATGGCGATAACTCAAGTTCGGATGAGGACCCACATATATGGTTCTTCTAATTGCAAATGGCTCCCTTATCACTCCGTCTCGTTTGCTCTATTACTTTCGGGATACCCCTTAGAAATAATATAGCTTTCGTTCGTTCGACCACTAACGGCCAACCATGGACAGATGTTTCGTGGGATTTGGCAACTCCTCAACATGGTGTAGGCTTTTGGTCACGGTGGACAACAAACGACAGCTGAGCAACTCTATTTAGAGTATATGGTTTATCGAAATAAGACAACACAAAGTGCCATCTTTTACCAGAACCGACCACTGCGAAATTGCTAGATGCAGTGGTCGGTTTCAGTAACAGATGACACTTTGTGCTCTCTTATTTCGATAAGTCACATATATTTTTAAATTCTTGATTATTTTACAATTCGATCATTATTGTCATTGTACTTGAAACATGCCACAGTGGTGGTCGATACGCCGTTCGGCAAGACAATTGAGTATATAGTAATGCTCTCAAAGTGAACATAACTAGACAATATCTAAAATTCTCACTTATAAAACGGCATACATAGGCTTGTCCGAACACGGATTTCATTAATACGTCCTATATATCTTCCATTGCGATATTGCTCATTCCTTACTGAGAAACCGTCTGTAAGCTTTTACGCATTATTTTGAAATCGCATTCTATCAATTCCGTTATGTCGGTTTGACAAATAAACTTTATATTTTGAAATATTTTAAAACTATGGGGTAATGGGTAATGTTGAATATAGCTTCTCATGTAGCTATTCTTCTTGAATGCTTCGGTAATCAACATTATATTTTAACGTTCGAAATGAATTGTAATTTGACGAGAAAGAACTAATTAATCAAAGTATTTGTAAAAAAACATGGAATAGTCTTGATCGTGATATAAAATCGAGTATTTTGATGGTTTTAGTAATAAAGAAAATCTACAAACACCTCATTTGAGAAACCATTATTGAAGTCGCACACAATATCCTTCGGAGAACATCCCAATAATGGCTAACTAGGTATGTCAATAAATCAATCTTATAACTGGTCTAGACGCAGAATGCAGAGTAGACTAACTGGTTATAAAATTGGAGGGATCATATTACAACATGAACATATTCTAATGTTGCATTCTTTTGTTGTAAAGCTGGAGCGTTAAACCGCTGTAATACAGTGGCTGCTCGTGACTAATATTTTGGGGGGTTCACAACTTCAAAGTTTGTAATATAAGAATGTAGATATCGATATAAAAGTAAGCAGAAAAAAGAGAAAATAGAAGAAAGGAGTTCAAAATATACTTACCAATCTTGTCTAAAAATATGAATTCATCAAATAATGTATATACATTTCACTTACTAAGTATAATATAATTAAATTAAACACAATACTTGAACACAAAGTCCATGCATCTTTCTTTAATTTCTGCAAATTTATTTATCACTAAATTGTTAAGATCGGGAATTTCTTTCACTATTTTTGTTTCTATGGACAGCAGCATGGCTAACGCGAAAAGTCTATCTTCATTCATTGTACTTCGTAAAAATGTTTTAATTCGTTTTAAAGTTGAACAGTTTCGTTCAGCCTCTGCAGTGGACATTGGAATTGTTACTATAAGATGAAGTAGATTATAAGTTGATGAAAAAACGTTTTCAATATTATTTTCAATAATAAATTTTAAACAATGCACTGCCCCAGAGAGGTTTCTAAAATCTGGACGTTGATAAATTATTTCCAGCTCAGTTTGTAATCTCGCTTTGTCTAGCATTGGGTTCCTACCCAATTTCACTGAGATAGGTTTTAGGAAAATTATTTTCATATTGAGAAAACTTATCTGGCAAAAACAAAAGAGATTCACTTAGATGGTTATTGAAGGCAAATCTGTCTCTAATTTGAATTATTATGCTGTCTTGTACTTCCTTTGCTGCTGCTACTTTTGCAATATAAGGATCTTCCCTGTTTCTTTTACTTCGAATATGGGTTACATCGTTAATTGAAGCTGGAATGGTTTCAGCATTTTATCTTTCTTTTTGAATGCATTTCTCAAAATTGTGTAGGATCAATAGTTGATTTTTGTAGCTGATCATAAAGATTGTCCGAATGAGGCAGAATTCTATGAAAAAAGTTGAGCCAAAAGTCCAGCAACATTCTTTCAATATCTGATGCTTGATTAATTGCTGTAGATTAGCCTAGAAGTATTTTGAATTTCCTCCATACAGTCTGTCAATGATTCCCTGTTTTCATATATCACATTTACAGCTCTGCTTTTAAAAAGCCATCTAGTATTAGATGTTCTTGGAATACTACGGCCTACAATTTCATTTAATATAGCGACACGTTATGGTGAATTGGAAAAAAATTGGTAACATCAGTTACATTGGAAAAAAAATTCGCACTTCTGCATTTTGACTTGAAGCTTGAGCTAAAATTAAATTCAATTGGTGTGCATAGCAGTGGACATAAAACGCATTTTTAAAGTCATTTTGAATTATTTTACTAATACCTCCATGTCGCCCACTAATGACAGTCGCACCATCATAACTCTGTGATACAAGTTTTTCTGGAGTATCAATAACACATTCTAATTCTTTTTCTATGCTACTAGCCAAACGTGCAGCATCGTGATCTTCTCGTATTAAAAAAGTCCAAAATCTTTCCACCGGGGTACCGTCTTTGAGCACATATCTAAAAACTACAATCATTTGAAATTTGGACAATCACATCCGTTGTCTTATCGACAATAACTGACAAAAACTGAGCGTTAGTTATTTCTTTTTTAATATGATCGCGAAACACTTGCTACATGCAATCTAGTAATTCATTTTTTATTGTCTTAGAAGTGCCTTTAAAAACTGAGGCTGTTTCAAAATGCTCTTTTAAAGCCACATCCAACTCAGAACTCATTGTGGCCTCGCAACGTCAGCTCAAAAACGCCACAAAGCTTGATACAATTTATGATTTTTGAGAATACATATCGGTTTTCTAAAATACAAACGTTTTGCTCCTCTAATTTGCCTCCGATATCCACTATCCAGCTGTTGCCTCATGTCAGTTTTTCCTAAAAGTTTTAAGTCAAGTTGTGATTTATGTTTACTTGCGAACGTTCATGTTTTTTTTGCTTTTTTAGCCAAATGCGCTAAATCTACGATACCAGCTTTCACCCAGCAGCAACTTTATCCAGAGCAAATAGTAGACATGGAAAGCAGAATAAACTATTTTTCATTTCACTATCACATGCACATAGCCACATATTTTTCATTCACTTCTATTTTAAACAGTCTTTTAAAGTCTCTCTTTATCCCTTTAGTAACTTGAATTAAATTTATAACCGGCTTTGGCCGCCCAATATTCTTAACAACTTTTTCGTCCAAAGAAAATCTTGGAAAGAACTCCCTTAAATATTCGACAGTATATTTTGTACCAGATTGCGAAGTACAAGAACGTGAAGATCCTGCTGCCATAACCATTTTCAAAATTCAAAGAAAACTATGAATAAAATGTCAGTCAATAGATATTATAAATTAATTAATACCCGGCACGCACAGACACACGGCACCGGTCAAACGAAGAATCCTCGCTAAATCGTTTATCAAACAATCTACTATCCCAAGCTAATACGATACACTTAACCTTGAAACTTGAAACACAACGTCCCTCACCCCCACTCCTCACTTCAGTCACTACGCCAAATATGTAAGTAACCAATCATAACAAAATCTAAAAATTAAATTCACTTCGGCACAAGAAATATGTGCCACAATGAATAGAAAGAGCGCGAATTTCAAATCCTATTGTTGGAGTGAGATAGAGAATCATATTATGAATAGATTCCAGGGCACACTTGAGAAAAAAACGATCTGTCGATTAGCGATGAAACCATCAGATGACACCGAGCGACGGTGCACCCAAGGCCAATAATTGTTTTAAGGGATATGATATATTGCACCAGAGTGGAGCGAAAATTACATAAATAGGGAGCTTATAAATTAGTTAATTCCAAAATTTGGTTAAATATCAAATGGGTGTTGGTTTTTTTTTTGTTTTTCACAAGGGGGCACGTGCTCATGTGCTCTTATGGACAAGCCGCCACTACTGTAATATTACCTGCTGGTGATGAAGCCAATAATAGTTGACGAGAGCATAGTTACATCATATTCGTTGCTTGAGTCTGACTAGTAAAGACTATACCTCAGGACAGCCTCCTAATTATACCGCGTAACATCATAAAGAAATTACTTCATCAGTATATATCTTCGTGGTTTTATTTTTTTCAGGACGAAGTTATGGATATAGAAGTCGGGAGCCCTGGCGTGAAGCAAGAATATTTCTCTGACAATTCTGTCTCTTTGCCGGGCTTGGGCCAAGTTGGACCTGTAGGATTTGAACCAGGAATGTTCAAAAAAGAGGACGAGAGGCAGAAAACTGCTTCACCTGGAAAGGTAAGTTCTGTGGAATTTTGTTTAATATTTATGATTTATTTTTTTGATGGACCAAGAGCGCTGTTTTTTATACATGAGGTCCGGTGGTCATAAGAATTGATTCAGTCATGACCTATTGTGTGAAAAGTACCCCAAAAACTTAATAACCATGAATTTTTTGAAAAATATGTTTCAGGGAAAAGTTTCAGGGTATTAAATAAGCAATTTGCCTATGAGCTAAAAAATTACCTCAGAGGTCATTTTACAGTCAGCTTTATAAATTCAAATACAATCACCATTTTTGAAAACAGATTCGTATCGAGCTCGAGATTTTACATTAGAATCCATTTTCATACATGAAGTCAGGTTGTCATAAGTGGTTCAAAAATCATGACCTACTGTAACTTCTGAAAAGTTCACGTACGCCCCGCAAATTTGGGAAACACTCATTTGTTTGGTTTCAAGAACAGTTTCAGATGACAATGACCTCAGAGATTATTTGGAGATGAAATTTATAAATTAATGTAGCAACCATCCTTATTGACAGCAGGTTTATGTCCTCGAGATCACAATCACTTTTCATACATAAGGTCAAGTAATCATGTATATATGTATGTAATCAGTATAATCAGCATGACTTACTGTAACGTCTGTAAAGTACATGAACACCCCGAAAGCGTAGCAACCACGCACTTTCCCTCATCCTGTATGGTCAGAGTGCAGTACATGCCATAACAATATTCCTTATTGACAGCAGATTTGTGTCCTCGAGATCACAATCACTTTTCATACATGAGGTCAAGTAATCATGTATATATGTATGTAATCAGTATAATCAGGATGACTTACTGTAACGTCTGAAAAGTACATGAACACCCCGAAAGCGTAACAACCACGCACTTTCCCTCATCCTGTGTGGTCAGAGTGCAGTACATGCCATAACAATATTCCTTTTTGGTCTCTAAAGTTTATTTTAAAGATGAATAGTTTTTTAATACCGAAGCAGCCGCGCTGGCAGAAGCCGTTATGCCAGCACAGCGCGACTGCTGTCAGGATCCCAAAGAATATTTGTTAATCCGATTTTTCAATTGCCTAACGTTAGTAGAACTGGGAAAAGCTTCCTCTTGTAGATTGTTGCACAATCTCGACACCCTCGAGACGAAGAAGCGGTCATATCGACCAGTTCTGAATGTAGTTCGACACGGTTAGGACCGGAGGCCAAAGACAGGCGGGTCTGTTTGGCAGGCACATCGCGTGGCGGCATCATGGAGGAGAGCTCTGGGGCCGCAGCACCATAAACGTGTGAGCAATACTCGAGGCTAGACCTCAACTGGACCTTGTATAGAGTGAGAAGGTCATGCGGAGAAAAGTACCTCTTAGAACTAAACAGTAGCTGCCGCTATTGACGAGATGTGTTCGTGACAGATCGGTGATCTGGACTCCAACCAGCCGAACTGAACGACTCGCGCTAGGAAGCTTTTTTTTAATCAAGGTACGTACTGTGTTTTGGAAGCATTAAATTGTACAAGATTGTTGCTTCGCCAAGCAGTGATAATCTCCAGGTCTCTCGTCAGAGAGGAAGTCGTCGTTAGTGTTCTTTTTTCCAGCTCAGCGATAGAGATCGCCTTGTCGCTCTGAATTCCTTCATGTAGAGTGTTGTCATCAGCAAAGCTGTGGGTTGGATTGATCGTACAGGAAAGGAGGTCGTTGATATGTAAGAGGAACAGTGTTGCAGCCAAGACAGATCCCTGGGGAACACCCGCGTTAACGTTGTGAGATGAAGAGCCACCCATCTGCAAAGCTTTTCTGGGAGGCCATAGGATGGAAGTTTGCTTAAGAGGGCAGCGTGCCACAGCTGATCGAACGCTTTCCTGATGCCAAGAGCAACGACATGAGCCTCACCATAAGACTGGATAAGTTTACTCCACAATTGAGTAACGTAAGCTAGGAGGTGCCCTGTGGATCGTTGGTGCCGGAAACCATACTGCCTGTCGCTAATCAAGCCGTTACGTTCGAGGTAGTCAAGAAGCTCGCGGTTTATGCACCTCTCCATCACCATACTTGAAACAGAAAGCGGAGCTATAGGCCTGTAGTTGTAAAGGTCGGTCTTAGATCCCTTTTTTGGGATGGGTTGGACATGAGCAAATTTCCAGTTTTCTGGTGCCGGATTCATAAGACGCGAACGAACTGGAGCAAGCTCCGGTTAACACCTCTTCAGTACAATGGCAAGAGTCCATACCAGAAGCTTTGTTGATGTCGAGCGACAAGAGCACCCGTCTTACGGTCTTATGCCTGAATGTTACCTCCCGCATAGTGTAGGGAACCTTTTGGATTGACGGCACTTGGGCGTTGGGGGGGACGTCCATGGTGGAGTTGGCAGCAAAGATCTTGGCTAGCACTTCAGCCTTGGCCTTTGAGTTGAATACAATAGTTCCATCCTGACACGTAAGTGGTGGAAGGCTACTGTGTGAGAAGTTCTTTTCAATCTGCTTGGCAAGCGTCCAGAAAGGCCGACTGCCATTGTGCTGCAACATTACCCTGTGCCTAACTTTTATATCGTGCTGTTTTTTTGGCATTGCAAACCGCTGCTTTATATTTGTTTCTGGACTCAACGTCGGCTTGTCTGTTCTCTACAGTGGGGTTTTGTTAGAAGGTTCTGTATGCCTTGATCTTCTGCTGGCGAGCAGCGTCACACGATTTGTTAAACCAGCCGTTGTACCCTGGTCTAGGCACTTTCACTGTGTGAGGGATGTATTCCTCCATTCCGACGTGGATAGTTTCGGTTATCGAAGAACAGACAGCCGACGCATCCGCGTCAGTGAAACAGACTTCTTTCCAAGGAAAGCTAAGAAATCTCTGATCCCCTCCCAGTCGGCATGTCCCTAATGCCAAGTTTTGCGGACTGTACGAGTTTCTGCTGACCGAAACCTAACCTCCACAACACCGTGGTCTGAGTTACCCAGGGGGGACAGGACAGCAGTGCTGTAAGAAACAGGATGCGTGGCCAGAAAGAGATCCAGCAGGCTACTGGCGTGTGACGAGACGCGGGGGAAAAAAGTAGCCCTTGGGTAAGATCGAACCCTATTGATTGTCTGATACCCAGAAACTTCTGTATTTACTTTTCCATCAGATGCATGGTTTATCAAGTTTTCGGGGTGTTCGTGTACTTTTCAGACATTACAGTGGATCATGCGGATTGAACCACCCTTGACCTCATGTATTAAAATGGATTCTGATTTGCTGTCAAAAATGGTGATTGCTATTCGAATTTACAAAGTTAACCTCTATGTCATATCTGAGGTCATCAACAAATAGCCTTTTTGGTACCCTGAAACTTTTCTAAGAACCTTTTTTCCAAAATATGTGTGGTTTGCCAAGTTTTCAGGCTGTTCGGGTATTTAATAGTATGTGCGTTATTTAGGAGACTATTTTAAATCTATATATGCTTAGCCTGACAGATAGTAAGGGCCAAACATCCCGCCAGACATTGAAAACATGCAGCCGTGAGTGTGAGCGCGTGGGTACTATGCTTGCGTTTTGAAGCTAGTGAGCTCTCTCTATAATCCCCCATGTTTGTCTGGCCGAATTAATCTACAAATATGGTTAAAATTATGAGATTAAACGAACTTACCTAAGTGATGTTTGATCTTAATTATACGACCGCCTCTTCCGAATAGAATCGCTATGTTTCACTCTTCGCCGCCACGTGGAGCCACGCATTTCAAAGCTAAACAAAATCCGCTCGAAGCAACCCTCTCGCACCACTACGCGCTGTCAATGATTCATTATTTTAAAGCAGTAATTATTGCCTCGGAATAGATCACGGTTCAGGGAGGGAGAGAGTGGTCTATTTGGAAGAGGCGGTCGTATAATTAAAATCAAACATCACTTAGGTGAGTTCATTTAATCTTATAATTGTACCACCCGCGTCTTCCTCTAGATCAGGGCTGTCCAACATACGGACCGCGAACTCCTTTCTTGCGGCCCGCTTCACGGGTCATGTATACATCACAAGTATAAATTACTCTCAAATACCGAATATGCATATACCTATTAAAACTCAGTAATAATGTTGTATAGAAAGATTTTATAATGCGGCCCTCCAAACTGCATTTTTTTTTGAAGTGGCCCTTGGGCCACATTAAGTTGCACAGCCCTGCTCTAGATTACTATGTAGATGTTCAAAATCGGCACTGCAACAGCTACAGGGAGAGCAAAAGAAAGAGGAACATAGATGCTAACTTCTTTAATCTCCAATATTCCTATGAGTAACTAATATCCATGTGCGAAAACTTATTCTAAATGTAATAACTCCAGTCTAACTATATCTTTATTCCCACTATTGCCTGAGAATTCGGTCCGATCCTCGACTTTATTAAAGGTCTGTTATTCAATTTTGCGAACAAATTAGGTGAAGCGTCCACCCTGCTATATTACGTATCGTATCGATGTTAATACCCCTGTTGACAGCTGCTGATTTAGTCACGTATCTAGTTCTTTGTGCTGTAAAGATCGAGCTGTCGATTCCACTTTTGCCTAGCACCATGCGGCCGTTGCTTCATTGTGAGGTTTCTTATTAGTCAGAAAAAGTTTCGCGAGTTTTCCCGACTGTCTGAAACCACTGGTTCTATTCAAATAGCATTTAAGCGTGCTTGCAGCACACATTTTGGGGTTACTGTCAAAAAATGGTAATACTGATAAGGGTTGGTATCTGCTTGGGGCAGATGTTTTAACTCTGGCCGGAACTTTCATTGCTATTTTTGTGTCTGATATTTCTGTATTAGTAATTTCTATTAGTGAAAATGTTCACATTCGATGTGCTGTAACCAGGGCCATGAATCATCGATAATTTGTGTATCAACACGTATCTAAGCTAATTGTCTTATTAGGATAGACAACCTAAAACTTTAGACATGGTCCCACGTTAAGTGGTATTTAGGCAAATGCGGTCGTAGTTTGTAAAAATCTTTGAATCTGGTGATCTCCAACTCGTGACGATATAATCAACGCTAAGACAGAAC